CCGGACGCTGCAGGCCGCGTCAGCCTCCGCCCGGGCAGTCCGGCCCGCGCTGGGCCTGGGCCGCCCCGCTCCTCGCTTCGGGGGCTTTTTGGTCTAAAAGCAGGCTTCGTCCGCGGGGATAGCCAGCCGCTGCCAGCAGCCAGCGAGGACGCGTTTCTGTAACCGCTCGCGCGTGCTTGAAGCTGCCGTCTTTCAAACGCGGGAGAACAGGGGATAGAATCTTTGCTTTTAGGGTAGAAGAATCGGTGCTTGCCCACGCCTGGGTCGGGCCAACATGTGACAAGGCAGGCAGAGCCAAGGCAGCCGTGCACGTAGAGGAGATCAGACTGCTCCTGCTTGCTTCTCCGAGGCAGTTCTGGCGGGATAACGAGCCTTTCGTGTAGCTTCATCTGAGGTTTCTTGTTACTCTTTCTTCCTCGCTTAGGGCAAGGAGGTCACGCCTACCTGCAAGAATGGCTTTGGTGGGCAGGGCTGCTGTGCAGTAAGTACCCGCTCTGAAACCGTAGGGAGACACGCTTAAGAGTGTGTTTGTCAGTTGCTTTCGTGTTTTATTATTACAATCGTTGTTTGACTGCTTGATTTTTCTCTGAGTGTCTGAGGATGTTGTTGATCTAATTAGAACTCTAAAATATTCTGAAGTCTCATGCATTACCAGGTTTCTCTGCTAAATAGGAGTTGAGGAGCTAGTCTAACTGGCTTGGGTTAAGTGCTTCTGAAATGGCCCGCCCAGACAATGTAGTTGATAACAGCACATCCAGCACTGTGGGTTTAGGCTACAGCGGTTTCAGCTGCTCTATTTTACACTTTTCAACATTAATAACCAATTGTACTTGATTTACCCTTTAAAAAGCTGTAAAAGCTGTTGCAGGAGAAGAACATGACTTAGAAATACAAAACGGGTCAAAACTCCTTTCAACTTTGAGGACATTATGGAAGTATTTTCCTGTGGTTACTGCTCAGCTGCATAGCCACGTGTGACTACGGATCACCGTGCGTAACCACGAGCCTTCTCTTCCCAAGAGAACCTGTATCGGGCTTCTGCTTGTTCTTGCTGGTGCTGTTCTTTCCTGGTTGCACAACATACCTGAGAAACACGGGATGCTCAGGTGGAAACTGAGGCTCTCTTCTGACTGCACTCAACCTTGTATTATGCTGAACTGCTCCTACTTTGACGCTCACCTGACAGAGTTTCTCTTGCAGTGGGAGTTGGAGAAGCAGCAAATTTTGCTGCCTATGCCTTTGCCCCTGCAACGCTGGTAACTCCACTGGGTGCTCTAAGTGTCCTTGTCAGGTAAGCAGCCTCAGAAACACCCTTACCTCACCTACCACCCCTTAGTGGTGAAAGCAGTTGCTCTGCTTTCCTCTGTCTCTTCCCTCAGGTACTCCATCCCTTGGCCTAATTAGTTTTGGTTTTTTTTACTATCTTTCAGTGCAGTTCTGTCTTCCACCTTCCTGCATGAGCAGCTGAATGTTCATGGGAAGATTGGCTGCATCCTGAGTATCCTGGGCTCCACGGTGATGGTGATCCATGCTCCACAGGAAGAAGAGGTTTCCAGCCTGGAGTCAATGGCAGAGAAGCTGAAAGATCCAGGTACTTAAATAAAAGGGGTCCTGTCAACTTCAGGCTTGGAAATGACAGTAGAAGGTAGGACACAACTTGGCTAGATTGGGAAGGACTGAACTAAAGGGTAGTTGAGCTGTTTCTTCTTCTGCGCACCAGTGGAGGAAACATTCCCCTGTGTCCAGCATAGCTTGTGGGTTGCCTTCTGTGGTGGGAAAAGGCTGGGGTCTCCACACTCTAAATATGAAAGTTTGGTGACAGTCAAACAGCATTTAATGCATGTGCTCAGAGGATTTACACCTTATTAACTAGCTCAAAACATAGGGGGACATGTCAGCTTCAGAATGGCTTTTTAGGACTGTCAGGTCCTCTTGACCCCGGATGAAAGAAGCAGACGGGAACCCCACTTCACAGAGAGGGAGTCTGGGTGATGCTCCCAAGTTACTGGGTCTGTGCTGAAGACAGGATGAGAACTTGGGTCATTAACAGTTAGCAAGAGTGCTTTTTTTGTACTGTCTATGAGGTATAGATGCAAAGAATGAAGAGCATGGGAATTAGCTGCAGCTGTCAGCAGAAGGGGTTGGCCTGTGGCAGTGCCAGGATAGGAGATGGAATTCCTGTACACGAGTGTGGCAGTGGTGTGGCTGAGGGAAGACAGAGGAGGAACTTCAGGCAAAGATGAATGAGCGATTCTAGGAGTTACGCCCAAGATCAAGTAGTCCTGGTATTTATGTTAGAGGATGAATCAGGTTGCAAGGATATGATTTGGTCAATAGCACGAATGCCAGAATAAGCCACAGGAGATGGAGGAAGGAAGCACAGGGAGAAGAGCAAAGCAGAGTAACAGGTAGATGATGCTGCTCATTAGAGGGAGTGCTCTGGCAGGACCTCGCGCTCCTGTGGTATGGCACTTTCCTCTTTATTCCACCACAGCCCACAGAGTTCAGCTAGGGCTTCCCAAGCCTTCTGCCACCCTCTTGGGCCTCCTGCAGAGCTGTGCCCTCTCGTCTTCCTGGTCAACAAGCCCCCCACCTCCACTAGTGCCGTAGAGGCTGGCTGTGCCCCTACCCCTTCCAGCACGGGCAGCTGTATCCCCTGACAGGCTGCCTTGTGGGGCGATGGTGTGATCAGCACTGTAGAGCTGCTGTTGTCTCTGCAGCTTTGCTCAGGCTGGAGACCAACTCTGCTTCCCAACCCTGGTCCCTACAGGTGGAGGCTAAAAAGACAGACTGATGGGGCAGTTACCCGCCCGTCCTCCATCTCTACTTGCTGTTCAGTTACATCTGTCACTGGTGCTACTGTTCTCTGATAGAGCTCTCTAATTCTTCTTTCCCCAAGGATTCATTGTATTTGCTGTATGTGTGCTGGTGAGCTCCCTTCTGCTTATCTTTGTGGCTGGACCCCGCTACGGACAGAGCAATGTCCTGGTTTATGTTTTGGTCTGCTCCGCCATCGGCTCGCTTTCTGTGTCCTGTGTCAAAGGCTTGGGGATTGCCCTGAAAGAACTGTTTTCCGGGAAGCCAGTCCTGAAAGAACCACTGGGCTGGGTGCTCCTGGTGTGCCTGGTGATCTGCATCAGCATCCAAATCAACTATCTGAACAAAGCCTTGGACATCTTCAACACATCTGTGGTCACACCCATTTACTATGTGCTGTTCACCACAGCAGTCATGATGTGCTCTGCCATCCTCTTCAAGGAGTGGCAACACATGGTGCTAGACAACATCATCGGCACCATCAGTGGCTTCCTCACCATCGTGTCTGGCATCTTCCTCCTGCACGCCTTCAGGGACATGCCCTTCACCCCCGACCTCCTGCCCCTCTTCCTGCAGCAAGGCAGGACAGACCTGCACGCCTCGTGGAGGAGTGCAGACAGACATCAGTCATGTCAGCACCAGCCTCTTCTGCCCTCAGAGGACAAAGGCTCTCACAGCACAGAGGAGGAGGAAGCTGAAAGCGTGTGAGGAAGCCTCCGAACTGCTAGGTTTTTGCTCCCACTGCTGAACAGCTCCACTGCAAGGTTGAACATGCTGCCTCAGCTGCTGCTAGCTACTGCTGCACAAGCAGGAGTTGGCAGTTACCATCTACCTGCCCCCGGCACAAGATGGGTGACCTGCCACTGCCAGGAGGCTGACAGGGACAGCAGCCTCCTGCGGCTACAGACAGGAGCACTGGGAACTGCCCAGTTCCTGCGATCTGGTGCCTCTTCACTGTTCTTTTACATGAAGAATTGATCTGCCCACGTCAGGACATAGGCTTTGGCGGCGCAGAGGCCCCGCAGCACTAACACAGTGCTAACCCTTACTGAATGTGAAGACCACGCATTTGGGGAGGCCTCACAGCATTTTTTTAAAAATATACTTAAAAGATTAACAGTTACAAAATAATCTAACATGGTGCTAAGATTACATGGAGAAAAGATGGATGTCTGGCTTTAAAGATGACATATCCAGAATATTAATTCAAAAATTCCTCTGTCAAGTACTTGTTTTGCTCACTCTGCTAGAATTTATTTACAGATTCACATCCAAGAACAGAATACAGCCAAAACTAGAAAACTTCAGTGGTGCTGCCACATGCTGCTGTGGCTCTTACGGAGGGACCAACCTCTTCATGCAACATCTGCTGTGCAGGTTGATGAAGCACCTGCTTACTGTATTCTATTAAAAACCTATTTGTTCAGTTACCGAGTGGCTAGTGATACATTTGTACTGAGAGCTGGGCCAGCGCTGAAAGGTGTGAAGACTTACAGCGGTAGGAAGAACCGTGTGGATGCTTGAGAGAAACTCAAGATAGGGACAGGAGAGGGAATCACTTACTGCGGGAAGAGGAGTGACCCAAGAGTCCTTAGCTATTGAGGTAAGTTTCTGAAGGATAACTGGACAGCTGTGTCCTGACTAACGTGGGTTTATATCTGCATATCTCTGCTGAACACATCCTGAACTTGTTCCCAGGAAGGCTGCTGGCTACAAGCCACCCGTGTTAGGAACTCGCACGCCCTGTCCAGCCACCCACAGCAAAGGCATGTGTGCAAAACTGCTTTACCAGGTTCCTGTGTAGAGCTCCAAGCCACTGTCAGTGGGTCACTCCAGGCTTCCCAGAGCCATGCTGTACGTCAACACTGCTGAAATGCTATGCTGCCTTTCCAGAGGGTGGATCAGTAGTTTGTTGTTTCTCCAGTTAGAAGCTCCTCTCTGTGTCCTGGGGGCAGAAGTCCAGGAGGTGCAGCCATAGGCCTTCCTCCCCTGCTCTCCACAGGTGAAGGTGCACGAGGTTATAAAGTAGCTGGTTACTTATTTCCTGCATTTAGTTTCTCTACAGAAACTACTCCTTTACAGGACAGCAGGATCTGTTAACCCTTTGGGGATGAGGAGGAAAGGCCACAGCCTCTCCCAGAAACAAGTTTGATTCATGGGACCAAATCAGTTGAGCAACAAATCAGAATTCAGAGCAGACCTTCTAGCCAGAAGACAATTATGCCCCCTCCCTACTAATTTTGCAATAAACAGGATTACTGGGAAGGAGGGAGAATGACAAGAAGGTCAGATTTTCAATTCTCGGTGGTCATCTACCTGAACAAAGGAGAATCTCATGTTAAAAATTGACGCAGTTAATATTTATTACATTGACCAGGGGAAAGCAGTTAATGGAGCAAGTCAGTATTGACAGAGTTGTGCTGCAATTTGAAAATTTGTCACGGCCACATGAACGATTTACCTACGGAAGCGTGAAAGTATTTTCCAGTAGCGACACTGTCTGGGATGATCACTGTGCTCAGCAAACTCTTCTCACTAAGGGTACCTGTACCGGACCGCTCGGCAACGGCGCCTGCAGGGCTTGTTAGCATCCACCCAGGAGGGTTTGTTCTGTGCAGCACTGTTTAAGGCAGCGGTCGCAGGCTGGCCTCGCCCAGGGCCGAGATTCACATCAGCCCCTGATGCGAGCATCGCCACCCCTCCTTTCAGCTGGGCGGGTGCGTGCCAAATGCTCCCTACGTAGCATCGGTAGCCCCGGAGTCCCAGCGCAAGGACAGCTGCTGGCAGCGCGTCACCCTGAGGAGGAGTGACTGTGCCTCTGTCGTGGGCTCTCATCTGGCTGCAACTTCCCCAAGACTGCATTTAATTAAATCCTAAACCCCAGAGCTGATCCTGGCTCATTCAGGCGGCAGAGAGACCGGGAGCCAGCGCAGCGGAGGGCCCAGCCTCGCGGGGCGCTGGCTGCGTCCCCCGGGGCGCAGGTCCCACTCAGTCGGACAGGCTCTCCGAGAAGGTCGATTTGGA